AGGGCGGCTGGAGGGACGAGCCGGGCGTGACGTCTGCCCGGAGCTATGCAGCGCGTAAGAGGAGAAAGCGAGAGGAAGTGGAATTCTTGAGAGCAATGCTCAGCTGCTGGAAGCGGCTCCCCCCCGCCAAGGAGGGCAGCCCCTGGCAGTGCGAGCTGGGCTGGCGGCTTGTCCGGCCCACTCGGGAAGGGGTGGAGGCACATGGCGCTGGTGCCATATGCCCGACGTGCCACGGGAAGCTTTGTGGGTCTGCCCCAGGGTGCGGTGCAGAGCAGAGTCTCCCTCTGGCCCCCCCAGGCATGCACCAGGCCTCCAGAGGGCCTCTCGCTGCAGCTGCTGGCTGGCCGTGTCTGATCACACCGGCTCTCCGGAGCCGGGACACGGAAGTGACAGGTCAAGCTGGAGGATTAGCAGCGCGTCTCATTGCAGGAGAGCAGCATCCCCCTCCTGGCCTGCTAGCCAGCCTCCTCCGCCAAGGGGAAAACGGGGCCGTTGCAATGGAACCCTCGCTTCCCCCCACCTATTCGCCCTCCCCTCGCTGCCGATGGCCCTGATCACACCGGCTCTCCGGAGCCGGGACACGGAAGTGACAGGTCAAGCTGGAGGATTAGCAGCGCGTCTCATTGCAGGAGAGCAGCATCCCCCTCCTGGCCTGCTAGCCAGCCTCCTCCGCCAAGGGGAAAACGGGGCCGTTGCAATGGAACCCTCGCTTCCCCCCACCTATTCGCCCTCCCCTCGCTGCCGATGGCCCTGTCCCCTCTTTTGTTCCGCACCAAACTTCCCGACAGGAGGAGGGATTGTGCTAGGCACAGACACCTGTGCGTGGGGCTGTGTGGGGATGCACTGTCCCCGGGCTGGGTGCGGTTCCAGGGAAGGCTGACCGGAGTCCTAATCCCGGAAGCAGGCTGGTTGGTAGGAATGAGGTGGAGACGTGGGATGAGACTTTATCCCGCCCCCCGGGACAGCGTCCGCTCCTTGAGGTGTAAGAGGAGTCGGCGTCACTCCTCTCCAAGACCAGGGACTGCTACTCAAGGCGAGGATCCTGGCTAGGCCCGTCTGCCCTCCTTCCCCGCCAAGGCCTGGAGGCTGTGTCTGACACAGCCCCCCATGGGAGCACAGAAAGGGCGATGGGACCCCGGGCCGGCTCTGCAGAGGTTCCTGCTCCAGGCCATGGCCCCCCGCTTGCGTTAGCACCAAGGTCAATGAGTTTGGAAGATGGTTTGATCTGTTGTCGTGTTCTTCCGACTCCGTTAGCACCTCCCCACCAGGGTCTGCGAGCCGCGTGGCAGTGAGACACTAGCATGGCCTAGCTCCTGGACGGGTGCAGTCTGCACACCCCACTCCCTAGCCCAGCAAGAGCCCTGCGCAAGGGCCTCCGCAGGTTCCAGGTGGCGGAGTGGACGGGGCCAAGTGGTTAATTCTCTGCCTTTCTTTAAAAAACCGAACTGTGTGCCTCCGTTGTCATGAGGATTCGTTCTCAGCGTCCCATGGAGCAGCGTTGGAATCGGCGCAGATGCAGAAGATGCGGTTTTGGGGAGCCAGCAGATGTTAGTCCTAGGGGAGCTCTGCAGTGGTTTCATCTGGAGCCACAGTGAAGTTGCAGTATTCCCTCGGGACCGGATATGGGCGAGACAGAGCAAAGTTTGTTTTGCCTTTGCTGAGGGGGTGCTCCCCAGAGGGACGGAGAACAGAGAGCCCAGAAGACCTGTCTCCTGGAGGCAGGAAGTCCCTGTGAAGAGGATGGGGCGCACTGTGAAAGGTGGAAGGGGAGCTCCTTCAGGTCTGTCGCGTTGCGTGCTCCACCGAGAGCCATCCTGGTGAGGGTTGCCTGCAGAGCAATGTCTTGAGCCGAATCCCTGCTGTGCCCAGCCCTGCGAGGCAGCAGAGTCCTTGCCAGGCGAAAGCCGGAGAACAGTTTGTGAAATAGCTCCCAGCTGGAGTGCACAGGCGAGGGATTGTCATCTGCTGTAATGCTGCTGGATGCTGCGGTTCTGAGAGCGCTGGCTAACCCCATGGAGAAATCCTCCCCCCGCAGGGTGCACCCCAGTCCTGACCAGCACCCCTGCTCTTCCCGTCCTGGCCCTCACGTGGCTGTTCGGAGACTTGTCCAAACTCATTTCAGACGTGGCCCAAAGGACGGGCTTGAAAGCCAGGTTGTGGGGCTGTTGTGTTCTGGGAGGGACGTCGTTCTTCACACCCCTGAGGGTCACAAGTGGTTAACCGAAGCACCACTGTCTGCTGTTGGAAAGGGGGAATGATAACTCGTATGGAGTTCCTCCAAGAATGGAGACTTTCCCTAGAAGTTCAGTGCACGTTCCCAGTGCCTTTCGACTCCTCCCGGCCTCATAGGACACCAGCGGGAGGCTTAAGATCAGCTTTTTCCATTCTTGCCAAGTTTTGATTTATGTGCCTAAGTCCCCATCAAGCGCCTTTCAGACTTTGAACGCCATCTCTAGAGAGCATTCCCACAGCAGGGTGGCTTACGAGATCGCTGTTGATTTAGCACTTGTGTTTCTATTGTCAGACCACACGCACAGGAGGCTGGAAGTCCCGGATTGGAGTGTGGCTGTCCTGGGTGAGTGTGAAGCGGAGAAGTGCTCAAGGGAGCATTGGTGGCTGCTGGGGGACACAGAGAGAGATGGATCCACAAGTGGAGTAGGGAAGAGTTCCCCTTACCAGCCATGCCCCTGCACCATACCCTGCAGCGACACCTGGGGCGAATGGGAGACAGGGCTGGAAGTCACTGCAAATAGACTCTCCGCCATTGCCCCGGCATCAGCTCCACTAGCGCCCAGTTGTGGGTGCCGACTCAGACGTGAGCATCAGTAACCAGGCCCTACAGAAACCAAGAGCAGCTCTGTGGCACCTTCAGACTTACCCACATGCATCGACTCATGAGCTTTCTGAGCAAGACCCGCTCCCTCAGACGGGCTGGAGTGGGGATAACAAACCAAGAGCTCTAGAACCCCAGAAGCACCTGTCATTGCGGGACCCGTGCTAACGAGGCTAAGTAAGGGGGCGGGACGTGCCCCATACCTAGGGTTGGATGTGAAAACGCAGGGGAGAAATTGCGTTGTAATGCATCAGCCCGTTAATGTCTTTGTTTCAGCCCAGGGTAATGGTGCCAGATCTGCAGATGAATTCCAGTCGTCCAAGGAAGGGCCTTTTACCCACGAGCGCTCACAAGTCGATACGTTTTGGTTAGTCTCCAAGGCGCCACGGGACCCCTGGTTGATTCTGCAGTTGCAGACTAACATGAGTCCCTATAACGTTCTCTACGGAGACTGCAGTGTGTCGCCGTCCCTATGGCCAGAGCGCCCCTCCGTATCCCCACCTGCCGTCGTGTCTGTGGCGGGGCGTGGAACGCCGAGGGGATTCCGCTCTCCCCTCCTCATGCTGCTGGGCGGCAGCATCCTGGCGTCGAGTGTCTACATTGGCCATTGTCAGGGTTTGCTCCGCGCCCTGCTGCTTCACACGGGCACCCTTGCCCTCGAGGGGTATTTGCATTGTGGCTGCGTGAATCTTGAGCCCACCTCAGCTTTGTGATGGGCATTGCCATACATGCAAGTTTCTTCTAAAATCAGTTGGAGGGTTTCAGTCAGGTTCCTTGCTCCCTAAGACTCCAGGCTGCCCCCACCCTCGAAAGCCACTGGTGGCCCGTGCCCCGGACAGCAATCTGTGGAGAGAAGTGGTCGGCAGGTGAGATGGGGCTGCAGTTCACAGCCGGAGCAGGACACGAATGCTACTGCGAATCCCTTTCGAAGAGCCTTGACATTCTCTGTCCCCCGGCCGTCCCCTCCATGAAAAATTGGTTGCATCAGTTGTGTTTGGGTTCCACTGAAGAACATGGAATCCCTCTTGCTGCTCTGCAGCCTGCTCGGATGGAAAGTTTGAAGCATTTGAAAGCTGTGTGCAGAGTAATTCAAGACCAGTTTCAAGTATATTTTGGACTCTCGAAGAGCTGTCGTCTTCTTGCTCAGACCACGGGCTGTCCTAGACAAGGCCTCGCTTTGAATTTATACTTCTGCTGAGTAGGACGGAATGTTTTGATTCCTAATTTAGAGTATCCGTCCTGACAGGTTCCAGCCTTCCAGGCTCCCGCAGAGACAGGCCGGGAGAGACTGGAGAGTGCTCCGAGGTCCCCTGCAGCAAATGTACCTGTCAGCAAGCGCCCCGGGCTGTGCGAACCGGCGCATTTGGAAACTGCTCTCTGGACGGAGCCTCCTCCCCTTCTCTGTGCTCATTTGTATTTGGCTTGTTTTCAGGATTTCTCTTATTTGTGGAGCAGGGTGATTTTTTTTATGCTGATAAAATGTGGCCCCCACCAAATGGAGGTCTGTAAGCCCTGGGGGGGTGGGGGTGCAGCTCCCAGTACTGTCTGGCAACGTGTGGGTTCGGTTTCGCTAGCTCCTTCAGCATGGACCTGATCCAGCAAAGGGCTTTGTCACGTTATTGGATTGTGAGGGGAGCAGACAGGTCACTGCTGCACCCATGGGGGGGGTGTTTGCCCCAAAAGTGGTACAAAGGGGCAATGGGAGGGGACAAACAAAAGCTACTTTCTTCTGATTGTGTATCTGCTCTTCATAGATCTGCATAATGTCTGCGGAGTTAGGGATCTGTGATCTGTATGGATACTGAATATTTCTCTGCATGTGGTTGAGCACTGGGCAGAGCCTGGCCTATGAACATGCTAATTACCGAGGCCCTGTTGGACAATAGCACTCAATGGGCCAAGGACACACCTCGGGAATGAGGCCTGACACCTAAGGGCTACCAACAGAGAACACAGGGATAGGTCGCTGGCCAGGTGACCTGCTGCAGCTGAGGAGAGACCAGGAAGGAGGTATAAAGAGGCCACGTGGTGGTCTCCATCTTGTTCTCAGCTCAGCACTTCATCCCAGAGGCAGCAGTGCAGGGATTGAAGAGCCGGAAAGACCTGTGAACCCATCCTGATCCTAGGATGCACAACAAGGATTTTTAAACCAGCAGCTGTAACATCTCTGCTAGAGCCTGCATCGAGGACTGGGAGATTCGGTGCATGTAACGTACTAACCTTTAACAACCTTACTCTCAGGCTTTTCTGTATTGTAATAATAAACCTTTTGATGTTAGATTCTAAAGGATTGGCTCAGCGTGATTTGTGGGTAAGATCCGGAGGGTAAATTGACCAGGGATCTGTGGCTGGTTTCTTGGAACTGGACAGAACTTGTTCGGGGTAGGTGGGATTGGGTGCTAGGACCCCCCACCTGTGTATAGGCCCGGGGCCATCTGGGGCACGGATATTGCTGGGGTGTCGGAGGGGTTTTGCTCGGGAGGCTTCAGGCAGGCAGCTGGAGCGCTCTGTGGGACTGGTTTGTGGCCTGTTTGGAGAGGTCTCCAGTCGGGGGACTGTACGAAACCCCGGATTTGAGCAATACGCCCTGAGCGGACGCCCTCAGCTGTGCCCAGACCCGGCCCGGCCCATCACAGGCTTAGACCCCGACCTCAGTGGGACTGCCCCTGTGGGTCACGTTAAGCACACGCTTAAGCGCTTTGGGGGATGAGGGCCCATCAGAGCAGCCCTTGGGAACCTGCTGGGCTCGGAGGCAGCGTTCTAGCGACCCTGCAGTCTGGCCTGCAAGCTCTTACTTGCAACTGCGAGGGCCAAGGTGTGACCCCGCCTCCTACGGCCCAGCAGTGTGCCCGCTGGGAGAGAATAGGGCACGTGCCCCGAGCGGCTTATGTCAGCGAAGGGCCACCACGAATAGCGAGCGGCCCCCTCCATCTCGGGGCCGCAAGCTGGGCGTGACCCCCGGGGGTGGGCGCTTTGCTCCCTGCGCGGTCGCGCCTGGAGTCTGCGGGGGCGGATGGACCCGGCGCAGCGCTGGGACGGGCTGCAGGGGGGCCCGGCTCTCCCCGTCAGTGTGCCAGCACAGGTGTTGCCGGATGGTCCTGCATCCATCTACGGGCCTAGGGCTGCGGCTCAGACATTCTCTATCAGGGATGTGAAATCCCATGGGAAAAGTTGACCAGTTAGAGTGAAGTGTCACCGGTTAACCGGGATTCTCTGGGTGGTGGGCGGGCTCCAGCCTGGCTGGGCCACCGGTTAACGGCTTACCGGGGAGTGGTTAACCCTGTACATCCCTGTTCGGAGTCGGGGCCGAGTGCCCCAAGGCAAATTGGATTTTCACCTGTAACTTATTTCCTGTGTCTGCCAGGCCGGGGCGGGGGGTGTAGTGCGGGGCTCTCTGTGTTAACTCCGCACACTGGCCCGTTTCACGGGGGGGCATGGCTGTAGTGCGGGGCTCTCTGTGTTAACTCCGCACACTGGCCCGTTTCACGGGGGGGCATGGCTGTAGTGCGGGGCTCTCTGTGTTAACTCCGCACACTGGCCCGTTTCACGGGGGGGCATGGCTGTAGTGCGGGGCTCTCTGTGTTAACTCCGCACACTGGCCCGTTTCACGGGGGGGCATGGCTGTAGTGCGGGGCTCTCTGTGTTAACTCCGCACACTGGCCCGTTTCACGGGGGGGCATGGCTGTAGTGCGGGGCTCTCTGTGTTAACTCCGCACACTGGCCCGTTTCACGGGGGGGCATGGCTGTAGTGCGGGGCTCTCTGTGTTAACTCCGCACACTGGCCCGTTTCACGGGGGGGCATGGCTGTAGTGCGGGGCTCTCTGTGTTAACTCCGCACACTGGCCCGTTTCACGGGGGGGCATGGCTGTAGTGCGGGGCTCTCTGTGTTAACTCCGCACACTGGCCCGTTTCACGGGGGGGCATGGCTGTAGTGCGGGGCTCTCTGTGTTAACTCCGCACACTGGCCCGTTTCACGGGGGGGCATGGCTGTAGTGCGGGGCTCTCTGTGTTAACTCCGCACACTGGCCCGTTTCACGGGGGGGCATGGCTGTAGTGCGGGGCTCTCTGTGTTAACTCCGCACACTGGCCCGTTTCACGGGGGGGCATGGCTGTAGTGCGGGGCTCTCTGTGTTAACTCCGCACACTGGCCCGTTTCACGGGGGGGCATGGCTGTAGTGCGGGGCTCTCTGTGTTAACTCCGCACACTGGCCCGTTTCACGGGGGGGCATGGCTGTAGTGCGGGGCTCTCTGTGTTAACTCCGCACACTGGCCCGTTTCACGGGGGGGCATGGCTGTAGTGCGGGGCTCTCTGTGTTAACTCCGCACACTGGCCCGTTTCACGGGGGGGCATGGCTGTAGTGCGGGGCTCTCTGTGTTAACTCCGCACACTGGCCCGTTTCACGGGGGGGCATGGCTGTAGTGCGGGGCTCTCTGTGTTAACTCCGCACACTGGCCCGTTTCACGGGGGGGCATGGCTGTAGTGCGGGGCTCTCTGTGTTAACTCCGCACACTGGCCCGTTTCACGGGGGGGCATGGCTGTAGTGCGGGGCTCTCTGTGTTAACTCCGCACACTGGCCCGTTTCACGGGGGGGCATGGCTGTAGTGCGGGGCTCTCTGTGTTAACTCCGCACACTGGCCCGTTTCACGGGGGGGCATGGCTGTAGTGCGGGGCTCTCTGTGTTAACTCCGCACACTGGCCCGTTTCACGGGGGGGCATGGCTGTAGTGCGGGGCTCTCTGTGTTAACTCCGCACACTGGCCCGTTTCACGGGGGGGCATGGCTGTAGTGCGGGGCTCTCTGTGTTAACTCCGCACACTGGCCCGTTTCACGGGGGGGCATGGCTGTAGTGCGGGGCTCTCTGTGTTAACTCCGCACACTGGCCCGTTTCACGGGGGGGCATGGCTGTAGTGCGGGGCTCTCTGTGTTAACTCCGCACACTGGCCCGTTTCACGGGGGGGCATGGCTGTAGTGCGGGGCTCTCTGTGTTAACTCCGCACACTGGCCCGTTTCACGGGGGGGCATGGCTGTAGTGCGGGGCTCTCTGTGTTAACTCCGCACACTGGCCCGTTTCACGGGGGGGCATGGCTGTAGTGCGGGGCTCTCTGTGTTAACTCCGCACACTGGCCCGTTTCACGGGGGGGCATGGCTGTAGTGCGGGGCTCTCTGTGTTAACTCCGCACACTGGCCCGTTTCACGGGGGGGCATGGCTGTAGTGCGGGGCTCTCTGTGTTAACTCCGCACACTGGCCCGTTTCACGGGGGGGCATGGCTGTAGTGCGGGGCTCTCTGTGTTAACTCCGCACACTGGCCCGTTTCACGGGGGGGCATGGCTGTAGTGCGGGGCTCTCTGTGTTAACTCCGCACACTGGCCCGTTTCACGGGGGGGCATGGCTGTAGTGCGGGGCTCTCTGTGTTAACTCCGCACACTGGCCCGTTTCACGGGGGGGCATGGCTGTAGTGCGGGGCTCTCTGTGTTAACTCCGCACACTGGCCCGTTTCACGGGGGGGCATGGCTGTAGTGCGGGGCTCTCTGTGTTAACTCCGCACACTGGCCCGTTTCACGGGGGGGCATGGCTGTAGTGCGGGGCTCTCTGTGTTAACTCCGCACACTGGCCCGTTTCACGGGGGGGCATGGCTGTAGTGCGGGGCTCTCTGTGTTAACTCCGCACACTGGCCCGTTTCACGGGGGGGCATGGCTGTAGTGCGGGGCTCTCTGTGTTAACTCCGCACACTGGCCCGTTTCACGGGGGGGCATGGCTGTAGTGCGGGGCTCTCTGTGTTAACTCCGCACACTGGCCCGTTTCACGGGGGGGCATGGCTGTAGTGCGGGGCTCTCTGTGTTAACTCCGCACACTGGCCCGTTTCACGGGGGGGCATGGCTGTAGTGCGGGGCTCTCTGTGTTAACTCCGCACACTGGCCCGTTTCACGGGGGGGCATGGCTGTAGTGCGGGGCTCTCTGTGTTAACTCCGCACACTGGCCCGTTTCACGGGGGGGCATGGCTGTAGTGCGGGGCTCTCTGTGTTAACTCCGCACACTGGCCCGTTTCACGGGGGGGCATGGCTGTAGTGCGGGGCTCTCTGTGTTAACTCCGCACACTGGCCCGTTTCACGGGGGGGCATGGCTGTAGTGCGGGGCTCTCTGTGTTAACTCCGCACACTGGCCCGTTTCACGGGGGGGCATGGCTGTAGTGCGGGGCTCTCTGTGTTAACTCCGCACACTGGCCCGTTTCACGGGGGGGCATGGCTGTAGTGCGGGGCTCTCTGTGTTAACTCCGCACACTGGCCCGTTTCACGGGGGGGCATGGCTGTAGTGCGGGGCTCTCTGTGTTAACTCCGCACACTGGCCCGTTTCACGGGGGGGCATGGCTGTAGTGCGGGGCTCTCTGTGTTAACTCCGCACACTGGCCCGTTTCACGGGGGGGCATGGCTGTAGTGCGGGGCTCTCTGTGTTAACTCCGCACACTGGCCCGTTTCACGGGGGGGCATGGCTGTAGTGCGGGGCTCTCTGTGTTAACTCCGCACACTGGCCCGTTTCACGGGGGGGCATGGCTGTAGTGCGGGGCTCTCTGTGTTAACTCCGCACACTGGCCCGTTTCACGGGGGGGCATGGCTGTAGTGCGGGGCTCTCTGTGTTAAATCCGCACACTGGCCCGTTT